GGTGTTTGTTTGGTAAACCCGTTTGCCCGACCCCGGCCTACGTAATTGGTAAACCTTTTCTTCACATTGTCTTGCCATATTCTTCACTTCCACTGTCAAGACTCGACGTCACACCGCTGTTTTCGGCTCTTGCTTTTACGGTTGTTGCAACATGATATCCCCCTCCAAATACACATATCTGGGCCTCACAAGTTTTTGAGGGCACTTAAGCCGTTGAACGTTCCTTCCGGAATCTCACTCAAGTCCAGCCCGCGGAGCCTCCTGCGGGGGATGCCGTGAAGACGGTCATGGTTAGGCGGCGAGCGTGTTCAGACGGGCGGTCACAATATTGCTTCGGAAATCACAGAGTTTGCCGACTCAGATTGCTCCGCAAACGTCGACCATCGCCATTCGCGCGGATGGATGGCTCAGGTTTCACGGCCAACAGAGATTTTCAGCAGACCGCCGAACCCTGGGCAAGACGGCTACAAGAAAAGGTTGAAGTCACGTTGGCATTGCGGACAGAAGGAAGCTACACCAAACAACATATTCGCCTGATTGAGAGCGTAGCATCTGATTGAGAGCGAGATTGCGCGATACGCTGTAGCCGGACTACCACTGAGAGGTGGAGCTTGCTGTGTAGCTTGAATTGAAGGGCTAGCCCGTAGCTTCAAGCCGCTACCCTGGTCATCCTGTGGGAGTCTCTCGTTGTGGAGCTACAGCGGGGAGCAGAAGCTACAGCAGAGCCCACCGCCCGACGCGATACCGCCCTGAAACAGTTTGAGCAGAAATAGCCAATCTGGGCAAATCTAGCAACTTGTCTAGCTCCTCGCTGCAGCATCCGATGACGATGACACGCATATGCTCGCGAAGCTGCTGATGAGACCTTCAATTTGCACCGCTTCTTGGAATAGCCCGTCCCCTACTTGCCAAGAAATGGCAAGAGGCGTCTGGACCCGAAATTTCAATTTTTTTGGCTCTCGCTCTCAATCAGATACTTCGCTCTCAATCAGGCGAATATGTTGTTACCAGTAAGTAGTGCTTTTCGTGCAATACGCCAACACTATGCTTCGACACAAAACACTCACAACGTCTCCAGAGAAGAAAGGTCCGAAAAGAGCCCGTCCTCCAGAACCTTAATCGGGTTCAAATCTAAATGAAGAAACGACAGTTTGGTCAGGCCCGAGAATATCTCTGGATCGAGCTCCACGATGTTGTTAGTGTGAATCCACAGCTCCTCCAGGTTTTGTGTGTCTCGAAAAAGCGTGGGAGGTAGAGCCAGTACAGACGGTTCGCTGAGATCCACCTGGTTCTCGTAAAGGTAGCTTGCCGGGGAGGAAAAACGGTAGGAAGGAAAGGGGGTGGGGAGGTAGGATACGTGACTTTAGTCTAGGTAGCCTCGCCGCCATTGACTACACAATAGCGCCAATACTCGCACAACTCTTGTGCAATAGCACTCCTCAGCTGGCCCCGTTAGCACCAGGGGTTTGCGGCAGGCGGTACGGAAGCGAGCATTGCTGATTTCGCGCTGTCACGGCACGTGGCGTTACAGCAAGATTAGATGTGCTGCGCTGCCTGCCGTAGACGATATCTGGACCAAAGAATTCCTAGTACCATGAACAGGGAGCGGTGTACAACTTTATGCCCACGCACAATATTTTGGGCACGGGCACGAAGGAGGCGGGGCAGGCTTTCCATACAAGTTGCCTCATGGGCAATCTTTCTTCGGGTTCATGACACCACTCGCCAACCGCGCGCTCCGTCCATTTTGAACAGCGCGAAGAGACACCACTTTTTTTCTGGCACACTAAAAACAATTCTATTCGCATGGCGAAACGTGGAAAGTAATGAGTAAAAGACCGACCGACAGCCGTAAGCTACGAACTGACTGGCCCGCCCCTCGGATGCAAGTCTTCATAGATGCAGAACTTCCGTTGTCCTCTTTCAGGAGAAGGCTAGAAGGTTCAAGACTAGTCTGGGTTAATTATCTGGCTATTTCGTGGAGCAATGTGACCCATCTTGAGTCGAGATAATTGGAGCCTGTACAAATGTAGCACGGCGGCCTCTCATCCTAGGCGGAACAAGCAGTTGCCGAGTTGTCCCGATTGTCGGAGTGTGTTCTCGCCCCCGGCTCCCTTGTGTCTACAGGGTAATCTCTCACAGTTCCCTGAGTGCGCCCAAGCCGGAGAACAGATCCTCCTCCACTTCGGCAAGGTGAAGGTCTCGCATTCTCCTAATTTGATGGGGGACGCATGGGGTCAGGTATGGTACATTGAGGTTGGAGTATGGCGAGCCAACCATCGAGACTGAAGCAGGTTCTGGCCTCCATCAGGACGGGTGCCAAAATGTGGGGCTTGGGTGCGTTTAGTAGCGTCGCATGTAGACTTTGACATGAACGGGCAAACGGCGAGAATGGACCAGAAACCACCGTACGCCACAGAGCCCACAGCTCTGAGGACAACATATAACAACACCATGGAAAGTCTCGTCAGTCTTTCTGTGTCCTACGCATGCATGTACCACACGTCGACAAGCGTTAACAACACGGACAGCATGTTGCGAAAGCAGTAGTCAAGGCATGAGTTTTTACGGGCGACAGTGGTAAGGGACTTACAGATACTCCAGAGAAGACAGCCCAGAGAAAAGCCCCGTCGGTAGATGGGCAATGGGATTGTGGTCCATGTGTCTGCGCACCAACGACAACCGTGATGAGGTTGCGGCAGACACAAGAGATCAATCAGCAGCGCAGAGCTCAACGCAACCAGTAGGTGTTGCTGTGAAAAAACTTTGCTTGACGCTATCGACAAGGAAACCACCTTGCCATTCTGTGATGTCGGTAGAAATAGCACCACTACAGTTATTTAAATGTTTGCCAGGAGGGAAGCTTGACTTGGGTCAACACACAGAGCTTTACATTGATTCTGTTCCAGCATCGACAGCTTGAAGGCGGCACAAACTCAGGACCCGAACTCGGACGCGAAGCTTAAGGCACAGCTGAACATATCGTTGTGTGTGACACACGATCGCAACCCTAGAAGCTGAATGCAGTAGGGGGTGCAGGCATGACATGCGACGCGCTCCGGCAAATGTTGGAGAATGAACGGGAAGGAGTGTTGAACCATCTGTCCCCCCTCCCGGCAAGCCTTACATGATTCGTAGCAAGGACAATCCCGAGAAGAGGCCGCCCGGAAGCGTTACCAAGGCGTTTTCGCGCAATGAGCTGGACGAATGTGGACAGGCGGGCGCGAACAGGATGTGCAGATGAAAAGACAACCGGTGGCGGAGGCAGCGGCGGCTTCAACACCCGTGGTCCAGAAATGCACGGTTTATTCCACTTGCAAAGACCGGGTCTACCACAATCTCAACCTACCATGCTTTCCGATTAACCAGCGACCCTTTGCAAGCTTCGCTTCACGTGTACCGGAAAAGCAGATACAATCAATCCGGCTTCCTGACCCACTGCGTAGTGGACTGGGCACCAACCACCCTTGCACATGAGTTCTCGCTCGACACAGGGTCACAGCCTGACAGCCCGCCAGCTGGGTTGCAGACACAACTTCACACGGCTCACCCATCGCGGCACTTCAAGCGGGGAGCCTGGTGTTGATATACTCGCTCCAGTATCTGGTCGTGAAAATCCCAGGGGGATATGTGTTGGGAATTTTTTGTGTTGTAGGGTGCCAACGGTGCAGTCACGGGGACCCTTTCGGCGTGGTTGGTGCGATGAGGCTTGCGTGCGTGCTTCGCACTTCTTCCTCTGCCTCCACCGCCACCGCGGTCTCTCTCCAATCAAGTTCCTTCTCCCACTCTCTCTCCACCTCTCTCACCACCTCTCTCTCTCAGCCTAACACGGCCGACTATCCAGTGCCCCAAGTAACGCCCAGGACGGGCTTGCTGCACCCCGCGTAGTTTACCTTTCACACTCGTACGATATCACGGTATCTGCGCGCGGGCGTAGCCTTCCGGGGGTTGTGCAATCACGCGCAATCGGTAGACTCCCACAACAACAGACACCATGGAGGGCATCGACCTCTCCGCCCTTAGCGGGGAAGGGCTACAACAGAAAGTGGAGGAGATCGTCCAGCCAGCAACGAATACAAGCCGAACTTGAAGCCAACAGGATCACCGAGGGTGAAGTCACCTACGCCCAACCACCAGCCGGCAACCCAGTCCCACCTACTGGCAACCAGCCATCACCCTCCAGCCAGGGCAAACCAGTCACCTTCACCGACCCCAGCAGCGTCGCACACATCGTGGCGCAAGCGGCTAAGGCGACAGCTGAGGCCATTGCTGAACAACAGGGCTTTGCCCGCTCAGGCACGTTACGTGTCAATCCTGGCTCAGAAATAGAACCTTGGCTTGGTAGCGTGAAGAAGGAGCAGGACTTGTATATTATGTTTCATATTTTTCGTGATAAGATGATTTCATATTTTCACGAGGAGGTAGCCTGAAGAAGGAGCAGGACTTGTATATTATGTTTCATATTTTTCGTCGTAAGATGGTTGCATACTTTCACGAGGAGGGTGTGCATGATGCATTGGAACTGGAGGTCGAGGTCAAGGTCGGAAAGAGGGGTGTGAATGTAGCAGAGCTTCGGAGACTTTTTGGCAATGATGTGGTAGACAAGTCTTTCAAGCTATGGAATATTCTCATCAGCAAGGTCTTGTACCCCCCGATTCAGAGCTTGATTCTGGCGTGTGAGAGTCCACAAAAAAGCTGGAAAATAGTGACAAGAGTTCTATCAGGAGAAGAAGCAGTCAGTCAAGTCGAGGTTGGAGCAGGACTGGAAGGAGTTGGAGATGAAAGAGTCCGAGAGTCCACAGGACTATGTTGCCCGCTCAGAAGCCCTTCGCCTGCGTCTAGCATTTGTAGGCACGATTAAGGATGAAGCAGATGCCAACAAAGACATTGCTCGTGGCCTGCCCTCTTCGTTGTATGCCGTACAAAAAGGAATACTGCTTGCCCGTGATGTCCTGACGTTGTGTACCCTTGAGGCTGTGGTGAGGGACGCCCACGTGGAAATGGAGCGGGAGAGGAGCAAGGGGGAGAGGCGCGAGGTGGAGCTCGCTCTCGCCGCGTCCCGCATGGGCCGACGCGGCGGGGTCAGTGGGGGGGCATCCGGGGGTCAAAACAGCGGTCACGCAGCAGCTGGCGGCCAAGATCGCGACGGAGAGAAGAAAAAGGGTGGCGTGTTCAACGACGACCCCGACGGATACTGCCGCAACCACCAGTCCGAGCTTCACACCAACGAGCAGTGCCGTTTCCAGCAGCAACTGCGGCGCGCGCGTTCGAGAGAAGGCGCCGAGGAACGCCGCTCGGGCGGCGGCAGCCGCGGTCGCCGCGGTAGGCTNGATGCCAACAAAGACATTGCTCGTGGCCTGCCCTCTTCGTTGTATGCCGTACAAAAAGGAATACTGCTTGCCCGTGATGTCCTGACGTTGTGTACCCTTGAGGCTGTGGTGAGGGACGCCCACGTGGAAATGGAGCGGGAGAGGAGCAAGGGGGAGAGGCGCGAGGTGGAGCTCGCTCTCGCCGCGTCCCGCATGGGCCGACGCGGCGGGGTCAGTGGGGGGGCATCCGGGGGTCAAAACAGCGGTCACGCAGCAGCTGGCGGCCAAGATCGCGACGGAGAGAAGAAAAAGGGTGGCGTGTTCAACGACGACCCCGACGGATACTGCCGCAACCACCAGTCCGAGCTTCACACCAACGAGCAGTGCCGTTTCCAGCAGCAACTGCGGCGCGCGCGTTCGAGAGAAGGCGCCGAGGAACGCCGCTCGGGCGGCGGCAGCCGCGGTCGCCGCGGTAGGCTGCGAGGGGGTAGACCGCCGCCGGGGCCCGGCCGCGGTGGCGGGCGATGGGTTAGGCTAGAAGAGCAGCAGCACTACACCGGTCATGGTGGCCGTGGCTGGAGCCAAGCCTCGCTCCCCCCGCGACCTCTTCGTGGACGTGGGCCTGGTGTTTGTCTGGGGCGTCACCCGGGGGGTCGTGGGCCCGCGGGACGCCACAGCAGCGACGGTCGTGCCGAGATGGAGGGGCAGAGAGAGGCCCGGGGCACGCGCGTTCTGGCCACGGAAGAGAGCAGGCGTACGTTGTGTACTACGCCCACGATGATGATGGCTACAATGAAGACTACGGCGACTACGACGATGGATACTACTACGACGACGGCTACCACGACGACGGGTACGCCCACTACGCCGGCGGTGGGGACAGCTACAGCTATTCCTCCGGGTACGAAGACAGCGGCTCATCTGACGGCGGCATCCACTACGTCTACTACCTTCCCGCCGGCGAAGATCCGTTATCCGAGCAGCCACGTCAGCCCCCCCCCGCGAGCAGCAGCAGCACCACTTCCTCCTCGTCCTCTAACCCTCCTCCTGGCGCGCCTCCATCTTCGGGCTACCTCCACCTCTGCACGGCACAATCGGTGCCTCTAAGCAAGTCTCACCCCGAAGATATTTTTCGTAGGATTGGAGTGACGATTGGAGTAGAGTCCGCTGCGCCTGCTTCGTCTTTGCTGAGTGTCGAATCTAGTGACGGACCGCCTGGTAGCGAGAGATGGGTAGCTGACTCAGGTGCAAGCAACAGTTATACCAACAGTAGCCTGCACATGTACGACCTGCAAGAGATCCCCGCCAAAGTAGGAAGTATGTCGTTGTAGGTGATGGTCGACTGCTCGAAGTGCAAGCTATCGGTAGCATCAACCTCAGTTTCTTTCAGGAAGATAGCGAATGGTGAAAAAACGACGATGTTTGTGAAGCTCACTGACGTGTCTGTAGTAGAGAGTCTGAGCTTCAACTTGTATTCAACGCATGCTGTTTCTCTGAAGCAACAAAACCTCCACGACGAGGGTGGCGTAACCCTAAGAAATGGACTGAATTTGCTATAGAGGAAAAAGCATTTGCAGCGTATGCGATGCGGTTGCCGTACGACCCATCTGCGACTGTAGTAGACTCTGCTGCTTTGCCCGCATTCATGACTGCCCCCGATTCTGCCCCCGCCGTTGGCTCCACGCGTTCTCCTTCCCGAAAAGGGGGCTCCGCGAAATCATTGGTGTCCGTGTTGCGTGTTCCTCCCGCTGGCTCTGCGAGCGTAGTACCCTCGGCTGATAGCGTCCCGCCCACTGGTCCCACCAGTATAGTACCTGCGAGTGAGAGCGTCCCGCTCGCCGGCTCTGCCGACGTAGTACCTTTTCGGCGTCCGAGTTTGTGTGTGTGGGTACTCTTCCGGGTATGGACCTTGGAGATACAAGTTGTNTTGCTCTCGGTTCGACTGAAAAGTCCGTTGACATCGACCGCTTCCATCGCTCCCTTGCCCACGCTTGCGAGCCTCTTCTGAGAGAAACTGACCAGCAGAGAGGCATCATGCTCACGGGCAAGCTGGTACCGTGCACGGACTGCATGAGGGCGAAGGGCAGGCGAGGGTCGGTGCCGCGGGGGCCGGGAGCGCGGGCGTCCAAGCCATTCGGGCGTGTTCACGTGGACCTGTGTGGACCGCTGGTGCCTTCCCTGGGCGGCAACCTCTACCTGTTCGTCGCCGTGGCCAGTGCCTTGCGGTGGAACAAGGTCTACGGTCTCCGGCGGAAGTCCGACGCACTGGCGGCAACGAAAAGGCTGCTGGCGGACGTGGGGCGGTACGACCTCGGGCGCATCGAGTGTGTCCGCGTCGACAACGGCACCGAGTGGACCCGCGGCGACTTCCGGCGTTTCTGCGACGACAACGGCATCGGCATCGAGTCCACCCCGCCTGGCGTCCCGCAGTACAACGGCGTCGTCGAAAGCGCCATCTGGCGCATCATGAAGGCCGGCATGGCCGTTCGCCGCAGCGCTGGCCGTGTGCTCAACGTCGACTTCACCTCCATCTCCGGCCTCGACGAGCGCGGTGACCGTCTTTGGATGGAATTGGCGAAATGGGCCGCCGACGCTGTCAACCAGTTGGCGACCAAGGCCAACCCCGGGCGGCGCTCGCCGCACGAGATTTTCACCGGCGAGCAGGGGCCGTTCCGCGTGCTGCCGTTCTTCCAGCCCGGCTTCATGCGCGAGGATCGCCGCACCAAGCTCGACGACCAGGCCACCCTCTGCTACTACCTGAACGGCGGCGACAACCACCCGAGCGGCACCGTCAAGGTCCTCAAGGCGTCCACCGGCCGCGTCGTCTACACCAACAACGTGTCGTGGGTGACGTCGGCGCCAGCCGGCGAGGGGGGTTCCGCTGGTATCACCGCTGCGCCGACACCCCCCCCGTTCACGCCGCCGGTCGTCTCGATCAACTTTGGCCCAGCACCGACGCCTTCGACCGCCACACCGCCACCGCCAGCGCCCACGCCGTCGCCCGCTCCCGCTCCCGCTGCCTCTTCGACCCCTGCCGCAACGCCGCCGCCAGCGACCACGCCGCCGCCCGCTCCCACGCCTTCACAGCCGCCCTCTGCCACTTCGCCGTCACCGTCGGCGACCCCCGCTCCTGGCCAGCCGTCCTCTGCCTCTCCGCCGTCACCGTCGGCGACCCCCGATCCAGACCAGCCGCCGCCGCCGCCGGACCCCGCGATGCCCCCGCTTACGGCTCACGCCCTGCGGCAGCTTCGCCCGGGTACAAAGGCCGAGGGTATGACAGACCCGCGGCTGCCAAGCCGTACGAGATCGGGCACGAGGCACAGCACAGGACTCATCTCGATGCTAGACAGGAACACTCTGGTGTCGATGCTGGAGGCTCGGAGCGCGGTGGATAAGGAGCGCAGGGAGCTGGGGGGGGCGGAGGCCGGAGAGCCGGGGGGAACGGGGGCCGGAGAGCAGGCGGGAGCACTCGCAGCAGTGGACCCGGCGGCTGCAGGAGCGGGCTTTCCACTCGCATTTGCCACGCTCCTCGCCAACCGGGAAGACATCGACGCCACGCTGCGAGACCAGCGCCCGCCGGAGCAACGCCCTGACCTTCCGCATTGCCAGGCCAGCGACCTTCGTGTCCCCAAGAGCTACAAAGAGGCCATGGCGTCGGAGCACCGGCACCTTTGGAGCGACTCTATGCAAAGGGGGTTTTATGGCTTGTTGGAAGCGGGGACTTTTACTCCGGCGAAGTAGCAACTAGTGGAGCACGCAATTAACGCTAAGTGGGTATTCGATTGGAAGGCAGATGAGTTTGGATGGCCCACTAAGGTTAAGTCGAGACTTGTAGCGAGAGGTGATATGCAGAGAGAGTACATTGACTTTGGAGAGTTGTACGCGCCTACCGTTTCTGTTTCATGTGTTAGGATGTTGGCTGCTTTGGCGTGCGAGTTGAACCTCGACTTGTATCATTTCGATATTGAGCAAGCTTTTGTGCGTTCGGAGTTGGAGGAAGACGTGTACATGCGTTTGCCGCAGGGATGTGGAGCTCTATCTGGAATGATTGTAAAACTAGGCAAGAGTCTGTATGGCTTGAGACAGGCATCTAGGCAGTGGCATGCAATGCTGAAGAGGTGTTTGGTGGCGTTAGGATTTGAGCAGTGCATGGCCGATGCTTGTGTGTTTCGTTTGATTGAGGATGGATGTGTTGTTTTGATTTTGGTAGTACATGTAGATGACATTTTTGCTGTGGGAGAGAGGGAGAGATGTGACAAGCTTGGCGCCGACCTTAACAAGTCCGTGCCAGTGAAAAACCTGGAGAATTGAGATGGTATTCTGGGTGCTTTTGCGAGAGGAACAAGGAAACCGGTAGATTGACTATTTCTCAGCAGACTTTCACGGATGAGCTAGCAGCAGAGTGTATGGAGTAGTTGGAGGTGAGAACGTTCCGATGTCTTCGGGGGTGAAGCTTCCTGATTTTGATGCGGATGAGATGGAGACAGACTATCCGTTTCGTCAACTAGTCGGATCTTTGATGTGGCTGGCGACTCAGACTAGACCAGACATTGCGAATGCAGTAAGGGCAGTAGCTAGGTATTGCTCATCTCCAAAGCAGGTCCACTGGGATGCAGCGATAGGTATTTTAGGGTATGCGAGGAGGACGAGTCACTTCGGTATTTCACTTCAGAGACGTACCGTAGAGGGATTCAGCTTGCAGGGGTACGCTGACGCGGACTTTGCAAGCAAGGCAGCAGACCGTAGGTCGGTATCAGGGGGGATCGTGACGTGTGGAGGAGGCGCGGTGTCTTGGTTTTCTAGAACGCAGAAGTGTGTTACGCTTTCGACGACAGAAGCAGAGTACGTCGCGCTTGGTGACGTGGTGAACGACATGTTGTTTTTGAGCCAGATTTGGCATTTCATGTTGCCGCAGGTCGGCATGCCGTGCATCCCAGTCTTCGAGGACAATCAGGGGGCGATTCAACTAGTGCAGAACCCCATCTCAAACTCGAACTCGAAGCACATAGATGTATGGCACCATTTTCTCAGGGAACTGGAAGAGAGGAAGGAAATTTCGGTGATCCACGTGCCGTTGCCATACCAGCGTGCAGATATTCTTACGAAGAGCTTGCCGACGGACACTCCCGAGTCTCACGTTGATTTTGTGATGAATTTGGCATGAATGTTCATTGTTTTTCTGATGGGTTGTGTTTTGGTTTTGTTTTGTTTCCCGCGCATGAGGTATAAATGTGCGCGATGCAGCATTCAAGTTTCTTAGTATCCTTTTCATTTTCTGATATTTGGAAGTAATCTTGATGACTTGTGTTCTGGGAAAGACGTCTTTCGGATGAGATATCGGGTGGTAGTGAAGTTTTCAGTGAGAAACTGTTGCGAGTAGCGAGTAGGGGGGATGGTAGATATACTCGCAACAGTATCTGGTCGTGAGGATCCCAAAGGAATACGTGTTGGACATTTTGTTTTGTGTGTTGTAGGGTACCACCGGTGCAGTCACGGGGACCCTTTTGGCGCGGTTGGTACGACGAGGCTTGCGTGCGTGCTTCGCATTTCTTCCTCTGCCTCCACCGCCACCGCCGTCTCTCTCCGATCAAGTTTCTTTCTCCCACGCTCTCTCCACCTCTGTCACCGCCTCTCTCTCTCGCCCTAACACGGCCGTCTACCCAGTGCCCCAAGTAACGCCCAGGACGGGCTTGCTGCAACCCGCGTAGTTTACCTTCAAATGGTCTCAATCATCCAACTACGACTGCGCGCACATATCCGCACTAAGAACTGTGTACCCGAGCTGCTCGTGAGTAGCCGCGATGCAGAAACGACAGTATCGCGACCGCAGCCAACTGTTGGTGTTGTCCACTCGTCGACCTAACGAGTTTTGGTGGACTTCTTTCACAATCCTTGAAGAAACCGCCGACACGCGAAATGACGAAATATCCTCCTTGGAAGACGAAAGCAAGCTATATTTTGCAGCTGCCAGAAAGGCCAGGCAGTGCCGTGGTCTTACGGCGAGCGTGATAGCATTGTCTGGCGCTGGCGCTTTTGATACGTCCACTTGTACAGGACAAGGAACATGCCTTGAAGAGACCCGCTCTCGACTCAACAGTGGCACGCTACACAGCACAGATATGGCTGGCACTCACATTTTCTCCAAGGTCGTTAGATTCTCGAAGAGCCCTCCCGGCAATTCCGTCAGGTATGGGAGGTGATTCATCCGGCTTCGTGGCGAGGCAGCCAACGGTGGGCGGCACAAAAGACGGACAAACGAACAGCGTGTGTCGGGCGTCTCGTTGGCGTATGTGAAGGTCCACAGAACAAAACAAAGAAATGCCATTTACACGCACCGTTTTGGCTGCGAAGCGCTTGCTCCTTTAGAGGATTAGCGACCAATCAAGAGATACGCACTCGCCTGCTTGCTTCCGTTTTCGTCTGGCGATTTGAAACGTCTACCCAGACATATCGTCAAGAGGGTGATGAGGGCCGATATTGTTTTCGACTGATTTCGAAAACGACCGAAACAGCATCCCGCGATCACCCACGAGACGCACAAGATTAGCGGCGCTTGGGACTTGTCTCCCCCAGCATATCATCAACTCTACGCCCGCACACAACTTCTTTCAAACCAAACAAATTTCTCCACGCCTCAAACTTCAGGGAAGATTAGGTTACTCAGCGGGTGTTTACAAATCCGTTTTGCTTGGATAGTGTCGAGGAAAACTGCTACACCGTAGTCAGGCACAGCAGTTTCCATAGGTGCGACTGCGGCAACTAGCCTTCCGTAGACATAATACAGAAAGAAGAGATGGTACTCAGCAGAGAACATGAGCACAGAGTTGTAGCGGAGACAATTTGGCAGGCGAATAATTGTTTTACTGTTCCGAACACCGAAATTCCGGTACTGGGGCCATTACCCCGGAGACCCTCGGAACCTGCTGTGTTTGCTGCTTGTTTTTTGTTATGTTTTGTTGTTGAGATGAGACACAAGCGCGCCTTCGCCCCTTGTGCTCACTCTCATCTAGCACCCATCAAAGCCTGACCAGGGAGTCAGTTGATAATAACATCTATCTACATTTCNGAGATGAGACACAAGCGCGCCTTCGCCCCTTGTGCTCACTCTCATCTAGCACCCATCAAAGCCTGACCAGGGAGTCAGTTGATAAGAAAATCTATCTACATTTCTCTTTCCAGAGCTCGCTCGGGCCTACCGATCTCACAGCAGTGTAGACCAACCTCTGTGATAGAGCGGTGACAGCAGTGTAACCTCTGTGGTAGACTACAAAGTCTACGAGCTACAGCAGCACCACCACCTCCGCTGCTGCAGGACGCCACATTCTGTGAAGTTATGAACCTCGCTTTACACGAACACTAGGAGCTGCGGACGTCACGACGGAAGTCAAGACATCCTATTGCTGTGGACTACAACAACCGTCTGTGGACTTCGAGCGGAAATCTGGATTCGGAGATTTGGGAGATCATCAACGGTCAGCGGAAACGAAAGTGAGCGCACTACTTGGTCATCTACACCAAGGGGCTGAGAGTTCATTATACACACACGTTACCACTGCTGCAACAGCAGTAGTGGGTACCTCTGTGGTGAACAAACAGCAAAGTGTTGCGCGGGAAGCCTCGATTTAGACATTGAGCAAATACTTCTGCGGCGGAGACAGGAGGGAAGACTGTATCAACAGCGAAAGTCGACCGGGAACCGTAGTCCTATTCACCGATTCCCTAAGTGAGGAAAGGGTATCAGGAGCGGGGTCGCAAATTGGCCTACAACCGGAGTCCTCTATATCAATAGAAGGAGCAGGGCTGGAAAATCTCAGAGACAGATAGCTGAGTCATACACCAACAAAAATATTCAAGACGAGATCATCAGGATGAAACCAGAAATGGAGGCAACATCGGGAACTGGAGGCGGAGGCAGCATCTGGAGTGACGGATCCACAAACCTGGCCAACGTCATCAGAGGACTCCCCAAGTTCGATGGAACGAAACCAGAGGATTTCAACGACTGGATGAAGAAATTGGGTGTAGTCGTCGGCGTTACTCAGAGGGACATCATGCCACTTCTCAAGGGAATGCGCGGGCCTGATCCCTCGGTCACCACCTTCGCCGCATACGGGAGAGCAAACGAAGACCTCTACGAAATCCTATTCTGCCTCGTCGAACTGCCGGCTGTACTAACCGTACACAAGCACGAAGACGACACCGGCCTTAGCGGCGACGGGCAGGCAGCATTCGCGGAACTGAAGGCCAACTACAATCGAGTGACAGATGAAGTGATCAGGGCTAAACTGGACGACCCGGAAAGGACGGGCAAGGAGGCAGGAGAGAACCCGGACGATTTTTTCAACAAGAAACA